ATATATATATATACACATATATATACATATATATATATATACACACATATATTTTGTATTTTATATATACACACACATTTTATTCATTTTTATTTTATAATTCATTTTACTTTATTTCAGCTTTGTCATTTAATGAAAATATATAGTTTTATACACACACACACAAAATTGGTTCTTCAGCAGTTCTTTGGGGTGGAAAAGGTCCTATATAGCACCACTACCATACAAAGAACCCGTTAAGCCCCTGTGTAGTTCTTAAAAGTTCTCTTACTCTCTCTTAGTTTAGTTGGGCAAAGGATTAAAAAAATGTATTTACTGAAGATAATGTGGTTCTCAACCTTTTTGCCCCCTATAAGGAAATATTCCAGGGCCCCCACACCTCAGAAAAGCATAAAAATGATTCAAAACAGATTTTGTCGTTGTAGTAAATTCCCATTAATAGCAATCATATGAGAGTGGAGTAACATATCTAAAATCTAAAGAGGAGAATGGGGTAAATATGCAGTGAATGAAAATCACATCCTGAATGATTAAAAATAGCTTTTTCAACTGTAGTGAGCAGAGCGTCAGAGGGTTAAAAACATTTTTTATCGCTAACATTCCAGAACTCAAGGTACATTGCAAATACAAAAGTTCTTCTGGTGATTTTCCCCCTTGTATTTGCAGTGAGAGGCAGTGGAGCAGTGTTAGCTCGCTCAAAGAATGGAAGTTTATGTCTCTCGTCTTCATTAGTATGCTGTGAAAAGTGTGAGCGCTCCCATAGAGTACGCTCGCTGTGTTGGACCGCCGCTAATTGCCTTGCCACCATCTCACCTCTCAAAGAGCTTGATCAGAGAGGTTTCACACACGCTGCTGGAATCCGAAGGAGGAGGGTGTGCTACAAAACACACACAGCTTTATTCTACTGCTGTCGGATTCGACTACCAGCCACTAAAATGCACACATAGGAGACCGACTGTTGTGACACAGGATCCAAAACGACACTCTGGGAACGTTATATTGAATGTTTTGGGAATGTACCATCAATGACAATGGACAAATCTTGACTAAATCTGATTTATGTAATATCTGAGATTCAAACAAGCCCTTCTTCGCTTGCAAGCAACTTATGACTACACATTTGAAATGAGTTTTGTGGACAACATAAACTGTGATTAAATGAGATCATATAAATTAAATATTTTAATAATAATCTATTTAATTTTATAATTAAATATTTTTAATAATAGAATAATTAAAATAATGATAATTGTAATAATAATAATAATGTATTCAAATTCAGAACTCCTTTAATACTGTTTAAAAAGCATCCTAGGGTGCACCGAATACTTCCCATGCGTGTTATTTTATACTATTCTAAAATTAGTCAGAGAACAAATTTAAAGTGGGCACTCAGTGAATGTAGTACTTTATTCAAAAGAGAAAATTACAGAGATTTTCTGAATCAGATACACACGATTAAATCACCAATGATACTTTTTTTAATAGCTTCATATGACTGTGCAAAAATAATATAATTGAGAGTTGTATAAACAGTGTCGCAAGATAACAATAAATATTCCAGAAGTGCTTAGTGCACCATTTTTGTCACCATGTTGGATTTATGTTGTCAGAAAATTATAAATTAATTATGGGTAAGGGTAAAAGGTAATCCAACATTTTATTATTTTATATACTATTATTGTTTTTATTTGTACATTGTCAGCTTCCATTTTAATATTACATTAAGTTGTGGAATTTATTTTTGTGTGTTTTTGTCATTTTTAAGATATCATCCTACGATGCACCGGATACAGCGAATTAGTAGATGTGTCCAAAAATTTTTGACAGGAAGTGTATTAGAAAATCTCATATTGGCCTACCTGACCAGGCTGCAGAGTGACGGTGTGGACTCGAGCTCTTCTGAAAGCTGGAAACGTCTTCAGGTCTGGCTGGACCACGCTAACCTGGCTGAACACGCTGGACTCCTCGTATGGTATCCGTGTTGGGTAGAGGCAGTGTGTGTCATCGGGAGGAAAGAGATGCCATCGTTTCCTGGAGAAAAAAATGACTTTACTGAGATAACATTGAGATTTTGTGCCCAAATTAATAGATACATCACAAATATTTCATTATGTTAGAAACTTTTAGCATGCCAAATTTTTTGGAGGGCTCATAAAAAAGGTGAAATGGATTTATATTTTTCCCTGTCTGCTGCGCTAGCCAAACAACTGTCAGAACTATCAGAACGTCAGTTTCTAGAGGCATTAGTTCTAACTGAATTAGTCATGCAGCTTCTGTATTTACTTAAGGTGCCAACTAAGCAACTGCCATTGAGATGAATGGGAATGCTTAGAGATTTCTCAAAGTATTATGAACTTACTCGCAGGAGATATTATATAATACTGTGATTTCTGTGGCAGGCTATCTTGACACGAGCAGCCTCAATCAGCAATTACAGAGCCAAGACAAGCTCCACAGAGAGGAGGTTCTTCATTGCCAGGTTTAGCTTCTCTCAATGGAGCAAATCATATATCTTAATAGCTGTTCACATCACTGCACTTTCCGTTTCTCATTTGCTCTTTTGAATGCAGAGGAAAAACAGCTTTCCTTTAACAGCTCAGGATTGGATCAGGAATCCTAACATAAGACTAGATAGAGCTCTTGTCAATATCTGAAGGAATCACATGGTGTTGTTCTAAACCATGCTCACAGAATCAGCCAAATTGGCAGTTTTGCCTGGGGCTTATCTAGTTCAGGGGTCTATTGACAGCCAGTCATCAAAAACTAGTTTCATCTAGTCGAGAGTTCATACTGGTGCACAGAAATACAATAAAATAGCAGTGTTATGGGTTCTTGTTTATTAAATGGTGACATATTGTTTCTAACATATGTCAAGTACTTCAATTGAATCTACTACCCACTACATGACAGATTTCACTGAAACAAGCGTCTTGAGAAATCACACCTGTCTCTGTGACAGGTCTAGGATCTGTAAATAGAAAAAAGCCTAAATCGAATGTTCTCTCAATGTCTTTCACACAACACAGATTGGTGAGATGTCTTAACTAAAATAAACTCATATTAATACAATTAAAAACGACTTTTGTTCATTTTCAAGCTGAAATAAAATGTAAATAAAATAAAGTTACCTGTTTAAGTAATAAAATTACTCAAATTAAAAGGAGATAAAAATTAATGAAATCTAAAAAACTAATAAAATGACAAACGCACATAAAATGTCTAAAGCTTTATCTGAAAATATAAAACTAAAAACCAATTCAAAATATACATTTTACATGAAAACCTTTAAAATCTTGCCTGTTTAAGTTGAAGTAATTTAAGTAAATTACCAAGTAATAAAATTACTAAAACTAAAATTAAATAAAAATAAATTAATGCTAAATAGTAATATCAAAGAAAACCTAACATGACAAAAGCACATAAATTAGTAAAATCTAAACTAAAATTAAATTGAAAACTTAAAATATAAAAAGAAAAGCTAATGCAAAATATTAATAAATACAATAAAATACATAAATAATACTAAAAGGGAATAATGTTACCAAACCGAATAATTGAAAACTGAATAATTGCTAATACCTCTGGCCTGTTTGTCACTTTTGGGGGAGTTTTTGCCCCAAAACTTGGGTAAACCTCGTTAAAACCTGGTTCTTACCTGCCTTGGATCTGGAAAACAAGATTGCAACCATAAGAGTCAAGGTGACATGGAGTGTTAGCACCCTGTGTCCCAATCCAAAGTGTGCTGTCTCGTCCATCTCGGCCAGGAAAGCCAAAGTCCGACCACACCACATCCTGCAGTTATAATGTTTGTGTTTACAAAGAACAAAAAACTATCTGATCGCCTACTGATGTCAATTTAAACAAGACCCACTCAGAGATGCTGCCCTTGAAGGTAGATAATGAAACCATTACCACGTCCAGGGGACTGTAAATGAGATGGTATGTAATCAAGCAAGCCCTCAGCAATGTTCAAACTACCCTATTCATCATTTAAGAGAGGCCCTTGTCTGCTCTCGATGCCCTAGCTGGCAGGGAGAATATTGGCACCTCATAAGCATTTATGATTTACAACAACTGAAAGCTAGAAATGAACATTAGCTGGGAAAAACAAAGCAAAATAAATCAAAATATCATTAAATGTCCACAGAATGACAATGATGTGCCATAGGATATGTTTTACTAAATAATAAAACAGCAAGGACTGATTAATTGCTCTTCATATCTGTTATTCCTAGTGCTGTCATACATTTTCATGAGAAGTTGTAACAACTGTAGGCTAATAAACAGTTTCAGAGAGCTCATAAAATAAAGGTAAGCATCCGCGGGAGACAAGGCAATACATACTAATGAATGTTTGACTGTGTTTATTGATCAAAGCTGATGTCATTGACATGCCCCGTGTGCTGTAGAGCGCCACTTCATGAAAAATTGGCCTCTCTCAAGCATAACTGGCATGCGGAAAAAGGCAAATGGGTTAATATGGTGCTTGATGAGGTCTGAGAGTATGATTGATTGTGGGAGAAAATGAAAAGAGTAGTGTCTTGTCCATTTATTTTATTTAAATGGGGCTCATTTTAGCCGTCATAAACACTGTAGAATTTGCAATGGCAAAATATAGAGTTTAATACATTATAGGAATATATATTAAAATACAACATATTGCATAGTATAATAATAATAAATATTTGAAAAATTTAAATATTAAATATTTTCTTTAAAGTAATGGAAGGGAATTGGCATGGTTTACCTGAAACATGGCAGGTTTATCCTGAAAAAGCTGGGTAATGTACTTGTAATCAGCATAAGCCCATAATTCTTTGCAGTGATAGCCAGAAAATGGCCCAACAAGTGATTCATCTTCATTGGCAGTCCAGGACAGAAACTCTTTAATGGTTGCTTCAATGTAGGAACACTCTGTTTCAAAAAGAGGAGCTGGTGCGAACAAAGCGAAACAAAAGTGAAAAGTAATTAATGAATAGATTATTCCAAAAGGGTTTATTCAAAATGCACAAACTGGAAAAAATCCTTTGATAATTTAAAATGATTTTAGGCAAATTAACTGTATTTTGTAAGAGGCTATTTCCATATGGAAATTGATTATTTTTCATATATACTAAAGCACCATATCAATTTGCTTGATCTGAAGTCATAAACACTGGGGTTTTTAATTATTACTGAAAAATGTTGTTTAAAATTTAGAAGTACAGTTTTGTCACAGTTCTGTCACTGCTTGGCATTTCATGTTCACTTCCCATATTTACATTTCACTTTAGTAAAAAGTCTAACAGTCGTGATGGACTGTCAGTTGTTTCCAATGGTTTGCAATAACTATTTGCCAGAAGTGCCAAAGAACCTGAAGAGGCAAAGCCTTCATTGGTGACAAAGGTTTCTGCAAGACTAACTATTACCGCTTCACACTTCTGGCAATTATTTGTATCAGACTGTTTCATTTCCTGCAAACGTGTCACAAATTAAGTTCAAATTAAAGTTTCTTTCAAATTAAGTTGCACATTGTGATAGAGGGCATCGAATAACAGAAATAACTGTTTTCTGTTGACACTGTAGGGGAAGAGTTACTCAAAGTATTCTAAAAATCGTCTGCCATTTGGTACACCACATTCTGAAAGTATTCACACCCCCTACAGAACATGTTTCAGTTACACTTGCAAAATTTCCCCACGCTTGCTTTATTCCCATCAATAACACTATAACACATAACTTAAAAAAAAAAAAATAAAAATCTCCAAAATGAAAGACGAGCATTTTGTATTTATTATTGTGCAAAACTGCTGAACACAGGTGGTTTCTAATCTGAACACAGGAGTACATTTTGATCATATTAAGTGTGATTACTCAAGACCGTTAACTGCTCTGCCTAATTTAGATCATTAAAACAAAGGTGTGGAATACTCTTGAGAAAGTAGGATGCTACATGGGGTATAGTCACTTCACATGTAACTATAGTAAGCTACTGTTGTCCAAACCTGCTCTAACATGCCTACCTATCATTTAAATTCGAAAATTATGTCCTGATTATGTTTAAAAAATGATGTCCTGGGCAAATGGAGTTCCTCTACTCTGATGATCTTGTTAATACCTATGAGAGGCTGTTTAATATTTGTGGCTTACCCATATCCTCAGTCCTTTTCCCAATACGAAACCGAAGCCTCTCTGTAAGGCAAGTTGACAGGTGCTCCACAGTCCAGTGTAATGCTGGCCAGTCTGTGGTCATGTTCAGAAACACAGCAGGTGTCTGTAGACACTGGACAATCCTCCTCGCCTCTTCTGGGGTGAAGGGTTTTGAAGCCATTCTACATAAAAACAAATAATAATAAGATGAGGATGATTAAGATGAGTGGATTTTGTCGTATACAACACAAATGAAACACCCATTCAGTAATCTTTCAGATAAACTGTAGGAGTTTTACTTTAAATCACTCAGATGAAAATACATCACAATCACTAAAGTGAATCACAAAGTCAGATTTATAATCTAAGTCAAATTAGCTACAAAGTGACAACTATCAATATAACTGACAACTCCATATTAAAATGTAAAAACACAGTCAATGCATGTGCAGCATCTGCATAAACAAATAGCAAATTTACTGCAGATATAAAAAAATTGGGATCTACACACACGTAAGCACTAAGCACACCTAAAATCTCTTTTCCAGCTAGTAAACAAAACTCACGTGAGACTTACCGCTGTTTTTTTTTTATTTCCTCTCAACACACAGGAAACGAAAAACGGCCATGTTGGCTCAACAGAAGAGCTGAAGTCTCCTTTAAGTTATTTGAAATGGTTGATCCAACATGGAGAACAACGACTTGCAGTTTCACACGTTACGTCAATTCCGTCTGTAGGCAGCGCATGCGCATTAAAGTTTGGAGCGTAGCTGCTGGAGTGTCATGGGCAGCTGACAATTGAGCGAGTGCCCTAGCTTTTAATGTGGCCTGTTATAGACGTTGCCGGATTGCATAAAGTCATTTTAAAACGTGATACCACGTCTGTTCAATGGGTGCCGTGGAAAGCACCGAAGGAGAAAGGGAACCTTTGCTGGTTCCTTCCCAGCCGGCGACAAACACACAGCCTGTGTTCAGCAGGGTGTATATGAGAAGATGGGTTGTTCTCACCATGTTTTCATTGTTGGGGTTTATGCAAGGACTTGTGTGGAACACCTGGGGCCCGATCCAGATCTCAGCCAAGCATGTGTTCGGGTTCTCATCGACAGATATCGCGGTGCTGGTGATGTGGGGTCCAGTGGGTTACCTGCCCTGGCTGCTGTTTATGTGGTTGATGGATAAGAAAGGTGAGTTGTTTTGGTTTTAGTTTTGTCATGGCAACAATATCTGTAAATACAAACAAATTATACTAGATACATCTGCCAATATTTAGACAGATTTGTTGATTGTGTGATATCACTAATTACACATAATAACCAGAGCCAGTTTGATCATTTCAATGTGTAATGTATGCACAAATTCATTTTATTAAGAACATTTAGCTCTGTGCCATTAGTTGTTCATATCTCTTTTAAACATGTTGTCCAGTGCAACAAAGGGCTTTCAAACCATTTTTAAGGACACATCCAAACTATAATTTGTTTTTACCTTTGACCCTTAATCACAATTCTATACTACCGCCCTATTTATATACCATTGTGTTTTTATGACAACATATATTTCTGACAAAAGTGTTCATGTACCAAGTACCTTTTGAATATCT